GCGCCGATATAAACACTTCTAATTTTCACCTCTAAAATGCTGGAACCAGCCATAATTGGGCAATGTATCCAGCAGTGGGTGCATGAAGATTACGTTCAAGTCATGACCATTCACTTTAAGTTTCACTTTCAGCACAGACGAGGCAAGGAGCAATACTGTGTTGCGTATTTTCTGAACAGAGCCTGATGGGTTTATTTTAACTGATCTGTAAAATAAATCAACAATAATAAATCTCTTCAATCCTCCAACTCATTTTGTTATTAGCTACGTGACTCCCACATTAGCAAGCTAACAGTGTTCAGTTGCACCGCCTTCGCAAAATTAGCCCTCTTGTCAGTAGTTGTAGCAACCAGTCCTGACAGATTGAGCTTGCAGTTTGTGGGACATCCAGTGTTAGTAACATTATCTTTGTTGTCCTCAATGAAATGCACTGTTTGTCTAAAATCTATTTCTCTACAAAGAAAATAAATTCTGCTGTGGTCAACACTAATTAGACCTTCAACCATCTGTTTAAACAATGAACAGGGAAGGGCATTTCTTTGTTTAATTTATGTTTTTGTAACACACGATGTTTATGATGAATAGTGGATAGAAAATGTGAACGCACATTAGGAAGACTGTTTTTATGACCAGTGAATCATTTTAAACCTAGTGTTGTCCTCACAACACATGACTATGCGAAGCTAGACAGCGAACAAAATAAAAAGTCCTCAGACAAGGCTCGCTTTCTTGATTTTACTGAAGTACTTTTATTTATGAATTTGTAAAAAGACAAAAGTCTCCCAAGGCACAGGCGTGCAGGGCACATTTAGTGTGTATATGAGAGGTTTTCTCCCTTATTTTCTAAAGCACTCGTTTTATGGGAGAAAAGACGTCAAAGATTGTTCTGTGGTGAGAGCACTCACTACCTCCAGTGCTGCACAATGATGAAGATCAGATTTGTCACTCTGATTGGAATCCAAACCAGTTTAACAGTTTTTAGCATGAATTTACTTAAACTGTTAATTATGAACTTATTGAACTTATCACCTCATTAATGTAACTTACTCACGTGATGAACTTATTACTCTCTCTGGACCAAAAGGCAGCACAGTGGGACTAATGGTGGATCTGATTAGCTTAGCTTTATGGTTGCTAGCAGCTGCGCTAAATAAACAAGCCCCGCTCCACTCAATGTTTTCTTAGATTCTTGGAGGTGGACAAAACTCGAAAAGTTTCAGCCATTATATCAGATATCAGCAGTCGCCTTCCCCTCCCAGTATCAGTATTAACGATAGCCAAAATTTCCATATCAGCCAGGCTCTAGTCAACAGAACACTAGTTCATCTTTTCAGTTTAGGAGCTTTTTCATACCTGAAAGCTATGTGGCTAAAGAAAGAAACAAACAAAACAACTATTAGGGAATTTTTGGTCAAAGGTTATGGATGTTTTTATCTACTATGACTGAGAATGTTAACTCTGCCCATGAATCATATGTTTGGGTTAGCAGAGAGAGCTGGATGTGGAGCTGGGTGAGGCTGCAGCACACAACTGGCTCCAAGGACACCTCCGAGCCTGTAAGCTCGGCTGAACTGATAAGAGTATAAAAACGAGCGGAGAAGGAGGCTCGGAACCGATTATCGTGACTGGTCTTCTTGTGTGTACTTTCTTTTCATTCATTCAACCTTAATTATACAGGTAAATCCTATTGAACCTCGGGGACTCGTTTACAAGAGGGACCTGATTTTAACAAAGAGTGACAACAACAGTGGACAACAAAGACAACAAAAGACAAGACTGTATGTTTCTGTATTTACAGTGAGGAAAATAAGTATTTGAACACCCTGCAACTTTGCAAGTTCTCCCACTTAGAAATCATGGAGGGGTCTGAAATGTTCATCTTGGGTGCATGTCCACTGTGAGAGACAATCTAAAAATTAAAACAGTCTGGAAATCACAATGTATGATTTTCTAAATAATTTATTTGCGTGTTACTGCTGCAAATAAGTATTTGAACACCTGTGAAAATCAATGTTAATATTTGGTACAGTAGCCTTTGTTTGCAGTTACAGAGGTCAAAGGTTTCCTGTAGTTTTTCACCAGGTTTACTGCAGCAGAGATTTTGGCCCATTCCTCCACAGATCTTCTCTAGATCAGCCAGGTTTCTGGGCTGTCACTGAGAAACATGACGTTTGAGCTCCCTCCAAAGATTTTCTATAGGGTTTATGTCTAGAGACTGGCTAGGCCATCCAGAACCTTGATATGCTTCTTACGGAGCCACTCCTTGGTTCTCCTGGCTGTGTGCTTCAGGTCATTGTCATGTTGGAAGACCCAGCCACGACCTATCTTCAATGCTCTGACTGATTGTGTGGGATGGACCGGTGTCTTTATGCAGCTAACGACCTCAAACAGGTGCTTCTAATTTAGAATAATAAGTGGAGTGGAGGTGGACTTTTTAGAGGCGGACTAACAGGTCTTTGAGGGCCAGAACTGTTGCTGATTGGCAGGTGTTCAAATACTTATTTGCAGCAGTAACACACAAATAAATTATTAAAAAAATCATACATTGCAATTTCTGGATTTTTTTATTTTTATTATTATTATTATGTCTCTCACAGTGGACATGCACCCAAGATGAACATTTCAGACCCCTCCATGATTTCTAAGTGGGAGAACTTGCAAAGTCGCAGGGTGTTCAAATACTTATTTTCCTCTCTGTATGTAGCCTGTCCTGAAAATCTGACCTTGCAAGTAAATACCGGTGATCCCCCCGTTAAAAATCATCTACATTAAGTGTGGTTCCTTTTGAGTAAGTGAGATAAAGCGACAATATTTTTCTCCAACATCTTCCAGAAAATGCTAACGCACAAATACTGGACTAAGCAGAAAAGGAAACAGTAGTTAATGTTGGAAAAAATAAAAATGTGAAAGACCTTCAAAAATATTGCTCTTCAACATCTTAGTGTTAAACTATGAACATTAATTGTACTACGAAATGTGCAACTAGTTGATCGTGCGAAAACAGTTAGGGCCTGCTCCTAGAGTTAGGAAGACACATTTAGTCAAAACGTTACAAAAAAACAACTACAGTCACACAGTTAAAGATTTTCTGGGCGTTATAGGGACCGTTATTCGCACTAAGGAGCAGTTTTAAGGACCTAGTTTGCTTTTGCACCACCAGGGGATCACTGATTGTGTAACACTCAGCTGATGGCCTGCGCAGCCATAACACTTGTGCACGTGACATGACTCTCACAAACAACAACAAGGTTTTTTTGACAGCGCTGTGGATCTATAGTTTAATTTTTGAAGCAGAACTTGAACGAGCAATATAAACTTTCATATGGCATTTTACTGTAGGGGCTAAGACTTAAACGACAGGTCAGTCTAGAAGCCAGTGGGTTCTATTTAAGCAATGCAAATGGATTTTTAATATGCTTTAAGAATGTTCATATTGTATATACATACATCGTTCAGGTTTTATGTATGACCTGATCATATTCCGTCACTCAAGAGTCCCTACTTAATGAACAAAACATTTACTCTGAAACACAAGCCTTAAAAAGACCTGACGATTGTAGTTTTAAGGATCAACAAAATGCCCACAAAGCAAAAGCAAATAATAAAAATAAATAAAAGGCTAATGACTACAAGAACTGATGTCACCTTCAATCCAAAAGCACCGGATGTGTTGGTTAGTTAACCTCCAGGTGCAGCTCCTGAACAAACTGAAGCTTTTGGATATTAAGGATATTGGAAACTCACCTTTTAGCTGCTGTTCCTCTCTTTCTCTCACTGGCCAAGCCTGATGCTTTTCACTGTTAGCCTGACACAGACATGCTGCATTCAAGCTGCTTTTGGTCTCGCAGCAACCAGCACAAACACAGGCTTGATTTCTGTACATGCCACCTTCTCTGCATGCTACCCCGCTGTGAGCAGCGTGCACACCTCATATCTGAAAAGGCCTACTGAGTTTTTAATACGTGTTTATAGCAACACAGCCGCTATTTTTAGATACCCGTGGATACTGTATTACTGTAAAATCCCCAGACCTAACCTGCACCATAATGCTGATACAAACAAACTAAAGAAAACATTGTGCCTGTCGAGTAATGAGGCTCTATTTGGAAATTAAAGCATCATGTCTTAATAAAGATGAATATCCTCTCTCTTTCAGCTCACAACTTTGAGGTTGTTTTCACACCTGATAGTCCGGTAGACTCAGTTCGGTTGGGGACCAAAATTCATAGCATTTTGTTTACATTTGAGCTGGTGAGTTTGCATTCACACTGCACTGTGCAGACGAGCCAACCTGTTTGAACCAACCTGTTCCCCCATTCGCCTGTGGTGGCGCTGCACCAAGAACTACTGAAAGAAACAACACAAAAAACTAGGAAGACACTTCTTCTTCTTCTTCTGGAAATAAAAACAAAAACGGAGTGGCGTCAAATTTTAGCGGTTTTAGGAGTTATATTTTGTCATTTTTCAAAAATGGACTCAGCATGAGCGGAAAATGAGGCAGAAGACCATGGAGAATGTTGTTTTTCACACAAGGCAGCTGACGGCTCCATATGAGGCAAGAGAAATTCGTGTTTGTTTGCCCTGCGCTGTACTCCACTTCTTGCTTGTGAAGCGGTGCCCGGTCTGGTTGCATTCACACTGTACTTGAACCGCGCTAGAGTTTTCTTCTACCGGCCCGAGACCTAGGTTTTTAGGCTGGGCCAGAGTTCACTTTTTTGTTCCGTGACAGAGTTCAATGGCAAGTTCACACCTCCCCAAACAAACCAGACTTCCTAGGCAAACGGGCTAGAGTTCAGGACAACAAGGCTGGTGTGAATGCACCTTAAGACTCCATATAGCCTCCTTGTATTCACATCGAAACCACAAATCAGTCATTTTTAGTCAGTCCAATTTGGTGCTCACAGGCATATTTCATGTAAACTAAGATATAGAGCAACATTAAGCACAATCCTGTTTCATATGCTGCAAAACTGACAATTGCAAAACTCAGAAATATTTACCTGATAGTTTGAGTGGCGCAAGTAGTAGTCAGGACATCCTGCTAAGGCCATGACGTTTGTTTAGTGTTCCCTCTCACAGGGAACCCCCTGGTCTCACCAGCACTCTGTGCATACAGGAAAACAAATAAAAAAAGAGCACCTTAATTATTCAACTGACTGGATAAAGACTGAAATACAAAAGCATCCAACATGAGCAGAATGATATAAACATTAAAAAAAAAAAACACGCAGCATTTTCCCCGTTTCTGAGGGAGGAGAAGGAATCAATTAAACAAAAAAATCAAATGTATGTGTTGCTTTTAATAACAGAATTGATTTTAACATTTAAATACAAACAGAAATAGTACATTTAAATACATTCATCCATCCATCCTCATCCACTTATTCTGAAGTCGAGTCGTGAGGGCAGCATCTTGAGCAGGGAGGTCCAGACATTTCTTTCCACAGCCACCTCTTCCAGCTCTTCTGGGAGGACTCCAAGGTGTTCCCAGACAACTGAAAGACATAGTCTCTCCAGCGTGTCCTGGGTCTTCCCCTGGGTCTTCTCCCAGTTGGACATGCTCGAAGCACCTCCCTAGGGAGACGACAAGTTTGGTAAGCCAAGGTCAGAGCACCAAGGCCCCCAACTTTGGCCACATGGCATCATGCATCCAACTTTTATGGTACCACCTGCAGGTGGCGGGTCCACAGGAAGGCAAACCCATGTTGCTCCTTTGGGCTGAGCCTGACTGCCCCCCATGGGTAGAGACCCGGTCAACAGGCGCTTGCTGATGAGCCCCTCCCCACGCCTGGCTCCAGGATGGGGCCCCGGTAACCCACGTCTGGACAAGAGACACTGAGCTCCTTATTGTTGCTTGTCCATGTAAGTCTTTTGAATTGATCTATGGCTGTCCTGTCACCTAGGACCAATCTGCCTATTTGGAAGAATTTGGAAGACTCTACCAGGGGTGATTATAACTGCTATGACAACATTGCTCCTAGGATCCGCACAAACTCCTCCACCACGATAAGGTGGCGATTCAGGGAGGAGCATACATATTTAAATTAATTGGTTTATTACGTGGATGATTTATTTACAGTGTGGAGCTTTTCTTACTGCAGTGTAATCTTTGGGGCTTCTCAAAGAACATTTCCAAAGCTTCTTGGTAGGGAAAGTCACTAACGTCATGTTCATTTATCGACAGCCGCATGCACACTGCAAGATGGTTTATTTCCAGGCAAGTTCACTCTTGTACAGCCAAGGGGAGTAATTCCTCCCCGACGGCAAAGCTAGATGGAAGTCATTCATCCAGTGGTGAGTGGTCTTTGACTGCTTGTTTGGAGGACCTGCGATGTGTTCTTACTTGGACCCGCAGCAGAACAGCTAACCTGACTGCTATTGTGGCCATATTCACCAGGAGAGTGTTCATAAAACAAATGTGTATTTCTAGTTTTGAATGGGCTGCAACATGGGCGGCTGTGGCTGAGTGGTTAGAGAAATCGTCCTCCAATGCAAGAGTTGGGGGTTCGAATCCACCAGCAGTTACATGTCGAAGTGTCCCTGGGCAAGACACTGAACCCCTCATAGCCTCTGATTTGTGTCCCGTCAGTGAATGAATGTGATCTAAAAGCACTGATTAGTCTCATTAGAATGATTTGTTCAATTAACTTTGTAGAGATCTAGTAGAGTCTGTATGAATTGGTAAATGAGGACACAGTATCTTGAAATAAGATAGAAAGGCACTATATAAGTACAGTCCATTTACCATTTAACATTTTTCCCCTGGCTCATGTTCGTTCTCTGCTAGTGGGAGTTCGGTCATGTGCACAAGTTGGACATGTCTTTATGCTAACGATGATCCTCAAGGCACATGCATCATAGCGCATATGCATTATTTTGTTTGGTAAACTTTCAATACAACGTTACATTTTAGACACAAATGTCACAGGCAGGTCAGGGGTGTGACATGGGAAAAGGGGGTGGAAGGATGTTTGGTTATGTATCGACTTTGGTGTCTCCCCCAGCCGCAACAAACCCATATAGGCGATGATGCTAGGGGAAACACTGACTTTTGTGTCTAGTGGGGGGAAAAAAGTTTAGAATTCCTAATCTGTGCAACTTGCTACCTGTGCCACAGGAAAAAACCCAACATCCACCTCTTATTTGAACTAGAAAAAAGTCTACATGTGCAAATGCATGCAGATGTGAGGATGGACCTGTATGCACTGAATTTAGTGTAAACACAGTCATTGTGTGCACCAGACACACACAGATAGTTGGATCCGAAACAAAGTGTAGGGCTTAAATTATTATTATTATTATTTTTAAACCCTCTCATGATTGTGGGGCGTTTCTTTTAACAACTTGAAACAGGACTCGGGTGTATATCTGCTGCAACTTGTGTGTGTGTGTGTGTTTATTTTCTTTTTTCTCTCTTTCGGCTGCTCCCTGCGTTAGGGGTCGCCACAGCGAACTAAGTTGCACGAAGACTTGGCAGTTATGCTGCAACTTGTGTGTGTGTGTATATCAAAAGGGTATTCTCATATTGTTGTTAGTTGTGTAAATGTTCAGTTAGCATTCACAAAATTGTTTATACCATAGTTGTAGGGATGCTTGTCAAAACATTCTTCAGTATGTTTTTTGGCACATTAACTCAATCTGCAAATTCTGAGCTATTTAAATCATTCATATTTCATACCATTCAGGTCATTAAAGACATTCCTGCTATGATTTGGGGTATTGGTGAAATATATACTTGTTGAAATAGTAAACTTTTCTAGCATTTTTAGTCTCAGAAAAATAACTGCACACTGTTCAACAGCCCTGCATTTTGCTCGTCAGAATTTTTGCGGTAACAATACTCTTGTTAACACTAATTCTGCCCTGGTTTTTAATAAATTCTGCCTTGCTAATGCTAATTTTGCCAATTAATGCCAATTCTGCTGAGTTTTGGGTGATTTTTTTCTTTTTTTTTTTTGCCAATTCTGCCCTGCCAGTGCAACTTCTGCTCTGCTGTGTGTTTGCATTCTTCCCTGTAATTTCAAACTTTGCTCTGCTTAAGTTAATTCAGGCAATAAATAGATAAGTAATAAATAAAGAAATATATAAAATAAAATATGTAAATTTATGAACTCTAATGAACTTATAATGATGCTCCTACTCTTTGAAGGTGAACCGATGGTACCACACCATCTCTCAGTCGGACAGTCTGATCAGTTTGATCAAAATCCTCCAGTTTAAAATCCTCACTGCTCAGATGAATCCTCCTCAAAGATACTTCCTCCTCTTCCTCACATCTTGGTCTTTGGGAAACCTTCAAAATGAAAACAGGAGATTTGTGTCTAAACAAAAACATTGTACAAAGGAGGTCAATCTCATTTTCTATTTCCTATATTCTCCCTAGTTTTTTTTTTTTTTCCTAGAACTTAAAACTCCAGTTTTTATGCATTTCTGTTGATAATGAACCAAAGCTACTGAAATAGTGAATATGCTTGTTAGAAAAATATTCCTGTCATCAGATCTCAGTCAGCTTCATTGCAGCTGAACACCGTGTTACACTGAACATCACATCAGCTGGTGGACATAAATACAGTACAGTAATATTATATTCACAAAATACTAACAATAATATGTTCATCTTACTTGTGAAAAGTTATCCCCCGAGACCTGACGTCAACAGTCCGTCGATTAGAACAGAAATAAGCTGCGAAGTGCTGAGACGTCTTCTGCTTTAACCAAATAAGGACGACCGCTCCAAGATGGCGGCCGAAAATCCTG